CTAGTAACATACCATTCCTTGATGTCATGGTTTCACTTTCAAAAGTCTTCTTGACTGTAACGTTTTCATTTTTATCTATTTTGAATGATCACGATCTTTTTGGATCCGACGTTGAGCAAGATTGTTCGTACACAGTTTTTGCAGTGCTTTTATTACCTTGACTAAACATTCATTCATTCATTCGTTCATTAACCCGTGGTGCTCCGCTACACGGGCGGGATCTCCGCTACAATCATGATGTCAATGGTCCGATATTATGAGACTATAAAACTGAAGCTGATATTGATGTAGATACAAATATAGATCGTTTTCACTGTCACGCAACAAAAAAATAAATTGGAAACCGTCCAGTGGAAGAAACCAAGAAAATGAAATGTTACCAAAGACTAATATACAAACAATTTGTCCAAGTCTCAGGTCTTTGTGGCCGACAGTTTCAGAGTTATTTGCCGAAACGTTTCACGCACCTTTGTACAGCTTTTTATGGGTACGCCATATTGGTGTACCGTTTTGGTCCACCAATATGGCCGCCGGAAATCAACAAAACATCTGGAGTTCACTTTTTCTATAAAAGCTCTTTCTTTTCACTCGAGAACCAGCCTACGTGCGCATAAACATATCCTCTAATACTTGAAATGGTTATACTGCTGAAAATCAAGAGGAGAGACTTTTTTCAACGAGACAGCATTCCTGTTTTGGTGTCACGCACTGTGAAAACTCGGAAGTTCAAATTGCTGTATTTTCGAAATGAAACATGCTACAGTAATGGAAACTTGTACAAAGATTTATTTTTTGTTTATCTTCAACCTAGTGTAAATAAGAATTCGTAAAACCTCGCTGTTTTGACTTAACAATTTGATGACGTCACTGTGAAAACCATCTATTGACGATGGTGATAACAAGGGTCCGATATCCGATATCAACAACGGTACTCACGCTAACGACTCCTATTGATATCAATGTGCCAACCAGAAACGCATTGGTTCTTGAATCAAAAGTTTTTCTTTTGTCTCACTCCTTGCAAATTTGAATAAAGAAAACGATGTTTGTAAACAGTGATGTCTCCTATGAGAGTATGGTTTGCGATATATTAATTAAGTGGTGACATCCCGCAGCTTTATTTACAATTTTTGTTATTTCGAACGCAATTGCTTGCTACTGCGATTCTTTAAAAGATTATTTGAAAAGCGGAATTCTGTTTTATTATGCACGGTTTAAGGTTTTATGTTGTCACGGTCCCACCAACTTTTCAGAGCAAATCTCAAATATACTTGAAAGTGCGACGAATTAAATTACGTTGGCATATTTATTGTATCAAAAATGCTTCCAGATCGAGCGAACTCCGTTGAGATATGAGCTTTTTCGCTCACGTATTTTTTGACAGGGAATATCGACCGTCTGCCAAGAGTAAATATTTAGTTCTTTCGTCTCTTTTCTTTAGATGAAAACATAATACTAAGCAAAAATAAAAGACACGAAATAATTGTTATATAATTATCATTCGATCTTACATTAAAACAGTTGTAAGGTTTTAAATGTATGATTTAGATTGGCCTAAATTTTGACGCAAGATAATTTACACGAATTTATCATGCCGGGGTCCTGACATTTTCTTTGAAGTATATCTATTCAATAGCGTAGCGAGTCTTATTAACCATGTCACTCAATCATATTTAAAACAAGGCAGTTGACAAGAGCTATTCAAACAGGCATCGAACAATAAACTTACCGTGTTATAAGTTACACTCTTCTGTCGCTCTTTGGTTCTGGTTTAATGTCATAGCAAGTCAAGTTACCTTTGGCATCGTTCATCCAATCGCTATATTCTTCAGTTTCAACCAGTCCGTAAAATTTTTGGAATTAAAACCACAGTATGTATTTTAGGCGCAATGTATGTTAATTGCATCAATGACGTCACAATTATTGTTGTCAGAGACCCCATGAAAAATCTCACAGAATCTTGCAGGGCCCAGTTCTTCGAAGGCCGACTAGCGTTTACTCGGGTTAAATTTTAATCTTGGTCTCTTTTTCTTTTGCTCAGAAGCATTTTCTCGGTTATTTCTGTACCTTTTTGGGGGGATGGGGGTAACCAATGATCAAATTGTAGACGAGAACCCGAAATAATATCTGAATTCAAATTTCACACTAACCAGCTTTGAACAACCGACCCAGGACATTCGAAGTGTTGTTATAACTGCCCTTGATTATATGGCTACAATAACACTCGGTGGAATACGTTAAATCGATCCACAGAATACACGTTCACGAAACTGCTTAATATCAGTCTTTACCTGAAGAATGGAATTTACTCAACGACATCTAAAAACTTCAACTCTCTTTTGAAGTTGCTCTCCCTTGTGTCTCCGATAAGTCCCTTGTATCTAGCCTTCTTTGAAGGTGCCCATGGGGTTAGCGTAGTTAACAGATATTTGGCCTAAAAAACAGTAGTTAACTGACAATTGGTCAAAAAAAAAATTAGTAATTAACTGACAAATGAAAAGGTAACAGTTAAGTGACATTCTGTTAATACGATCGTTGATGTTACTGAAAGCAACAAAGTTTTGCAAACAAAAATGCTATTTTTTGACTTTTTCTGTCTCGCTGACGACCTGGTGGCAGTCATTAACTGATATTTCTATATTCAGGCAAAAAGGCACCAGGGCAGTACCCGGCAAACAGAAAGCGTCAGTCATAGAGCTGGCTGTAGACAACTCAACGAATAATTCGTTGAATATCAACAAGATTTCTGTGTTCGGAAAAGGAAAGTACTGTTTTCACGGACCCAGAAGATCGTAAAGTTAAACATTACTAACCAAAGAAAAAAGCTGTGACTGTTAGCATTTGTTCTGGCCAAAAAGAAGTTTTGATGACTCAAAAATCAGCATCTTTCTTTTAAGTACATGGAATTTGTACTTACGAAAAATCGTTTTGGTAACTGATGTTGCAGTTCTCAATATTGACACTATTAAGGTCGTGTTTAAATCGATCATTTTGAAACAGTTTCATTTCTTAAAACCCTAGGATATCTTTATGACGCTTTTGAAATTCGCGAAAAAGATAACATTGAGGACGCGAAAGAGTATGTCGACAAAGTCTGTATCGAGGTACAAAAAACTTCTCAGTGACAACGCAAACGATTTCTCTCTTCAATACAAAACATTCAGTAGAGCTTTGAACTACGCCCAAGACTTTGGAACCACAGTGAAAGAATCGCTTAAAAGAACTACGAATTGGAAGTGGGCTACACTCACAAAAAGTCGAATTGTCTCGTGTCAAATACTTTTATGCCTTTGTCAGCAACTCTCAGCTATGTCTCTCCCATCTGTGTAAACAGTGGCACAAGAAGATGAATCTGGATAGAAAACTTTCGACCTGTTTGACGACGAACTATAAGGAGCGAATCAACTCTAGATAAAGCGGGATCTTTCCCACCAGCTTCACGGAACTATGTCATGCTATTTGCTATGTTTTTAAAAAGCTAAAACGTTTTTTTTTTATTTTTACATCAATTGAATTCCAAAAATCTTGGTCCAGTTTTGTTATTTTCAAGACTATATTTTGGCATTGATGTTGTTTCCCGTCGTCTCTTGCAATGGATTGCAAGGATTAAAAATGGACTGAAACAAGATACAGGACATACAGCAACCAGTTAATTACGAGACTGATTCAGATAATAAGAGTGACGATGAAGGTGACTTTGAAGTAGTTTATAGCGGGACATGCATGACCAGGTCGGGAAGATCAGTACGAGATCATGACTGGTGCGTCTGGCCTGGATGTACATTGATGGTTATACGGCTTATCTAATTTGTACTTACAGCGATAATCGATTAATAGGGGTCTTAATAGCTATCGCTTACCCATTTTTACTACTTAGGTTAGATAATTATGTTCTTTTAATTTCTATATTTTCAGTTACTTTATATAAAATTAAAATTGTACTATACGGCGGAGTTTATGTGAATTCGTGTAAGTTTACACCTTGATTTTAGAAGGGCCTACCCCCAAAAGTGACAGACGTGCTGAAGTAAAGAAAATTCGAGCTATGACGGAATAATATTCGCTGTAGGCAAGCGAAAGTTGATGGCTAACCAAAACTAGTAGTCAACTGAGAATTGGGTACCCTCATTAACACCCTCTTCTTTCCTCTCTTGCTCTCTGCCTCTGTTTAGCCCTTTTGCATTGTTCATTGTTAATATTCTCTTCTTCCACATATAATCAGTTCGTATAATCATAATTACAACTTTGAAAGCCGCTCAGTACCTTTTGTTACAGTTGTCTTATTCACTTGTACTTAAATTTGTAATAAAGTTAGACTGCTTGCAGTCCGCCTTTTCCCTTAAAATCCGTCTAGTTCTTGTTCTCATTCAGCGCGATTGCAAACCACGATGTAAGAGACTGCTCGCAGTCTATAATAAAGTGTTGTAATAAAGCCAGAAAAAAATTATATTCGAAGTAGTATAATGGTCCAGTTTCGTCCAGTTTCGAGTTCGCTATGACCACTGAATAAAAGAACTGAAGATGCATATTTTTCTACAGGCTTAGCCTCCATTTGAAATAAATATATAATCACAAATTCCAACGAGAAGAAGACCTGTTTATTACTCTGTCTATTGTATATTGTCAAATTTCAAACACTTATAATTACAGTCAACTCCCCAGCTTTATTGCAGACAATGTTGGGACCTCCAGGTAGTGTCCTCATTACCGAGAATATGTAATAGCGGGAGTTTATTTCAGTCAAACGTCTGTGATTTGTGTTTGCCGGGGATTTAGCTGCTGTCCGTTCTATCGAGGTGTCCATTATAGCGGGGTGTCCGCAATGTAAGAGTTGACTGTACTTGCCGATATTTGTGAATATTTTGCTTAATGTCGACGCTAAACCTGTAGGAACGTCACGTTAATTAATGTTTGTAATTAGCGATAATGAGACCTTTAAAAGTTGATAGTTTTGGTCAAATATAGACCTGTTGAGCCCCTTTTAAATGAATGTCACTGTATCACGCACACAGTCCTAAAATGACCAATAGAATGACTAAAAATTCTTTACTGGTCAAGCGAGTCGAATTGCTACAGGGATCCTTAAGCTGACCGTTGCAGAAGTCGCTGTCACAACACAGTTTGCAGTGAGACGTTTTCTGGTATTTGCCGACTGTCCATCTGATAACGGGTCTTTTGCAATCTCTTTCGCAGCCTCTGACGACTTGTGCGGTAGTTCCATTGGGCAAAACCTTCCTGTACAGAGCGCAGTGATGGTAATCTCCGCCGCATGAGTACTCCCTCGTTCCGTACAAAGAGTTCGTACTGCATTCTCCTTCTTTAGAGTTGCAGTAATGGCACACAGTACCACCTATAAGAAAGTCAGAAATTATGGAAAAATTAAAACTTCTTTTCCATTCGCCATAAAAAGTGCGTCTGCTTTCCCTGGTAAATAACAGGACGGAAGTGAATCCATTATATAAGATACATATCTTATACAATGGAGTCCATTGACTGTGCCAGTGTAAAAATAATTGGCCAGGAAAACCACCTGCTTTCACGCAAGATAAGCGAGGCCATAAACATTCATAATCTGCGACCGGAAATGAACCGTGATCAGGGCTACCACCTGTCCCCAATTTAATGCAGCCTCATGGTCAAACGAGTAACCACAAACCGTCATCACTGATGAAGGGATCCGGATAGGTCGGTACTTTATGTAAGCCTCACGTATAATGTCCTGGCACTCCGGATAGGTTCCGAAAGCTCTGAGTAACTTTCAACAAATTGTTGGTGTTGAAGAATATATATATCTATTATATGTATTTTGTTTCTGTAATATGTCTCAAAAGCCGAATATTCACTCTGTCACTTTTAGTTAACTTAAGGTTAACCCACCTCAATAATTCTTTTACAGAGACTCTGGGCTCATGTGCTACTGCAGTGAGCCAATGCTCATGGAATAGAAAATACAAAAGCTCTCTTTGGGAATAGCAAAATAATTAGAATGAGATTCGTCAAAGGATATTAAACTATGTTCCGTTGTTAGGGTAGATGGGAAGGAGTGATTACGATCGAAAAAGCAGTGAAAAAATGACTTCCACTCTTTAAAATAGAAACCAGGACATCAGCGGAAGCTAATTCCAAAGAAAATTGATACCATCTTTTCTTTAAGGACCGTTCGCATGACAACAGTCCAGGTGGTCTAGGATCGATGACGTACCTTCGGTCTGAAGTAAATCTGTAATAACCACGAGACAAAGTAGTCTACCAAGCGAAGGACTCATCAGTAGAATTTAAAGTCAACTGGAGATCGCGCAAAAAATGTTTGATACATGCCGGTTTTCATCTTAGTCTTTTCCCTGAAGTAAGAAAAAATGAACTCGTAAATCGTTAGTAGTCGGGGACAACAGTTTTCCCTCATGTTGAACTACTGTCTTTTTCAAAATTAAACAGGAAATTCAAGAAGAAACAAATGCAAGAATACTCAGGTATGTTCTCAACGTGCGATAGCGTCAGTCAATCTTAAATACCAAGCAAAAAGCTTCATTCAAATTTGTGAATTTGTGCAAATTAGTTGGGATTTTCTTAGTGTGATTTCCTATACTTACAGGTTTAAGTAGTTTCCACCTTATCATCTAAAGTTGTTTTGCATTTGTACGCGTTTAAAAACGAGTTCTACAAAAACGATTTTCGTATAAGATACTTGAGCGTGCAATAAATACGAAATACTGGGAAGTGTTTTGAATGCCTGACACCTTTAGACCTAAAAGTAAATGTGTGTACACTAGTGTAAAATTTCTGTTTCGCCACACGAAAAAACTTTATCTCACTCTAAATCCGTTAACTTTCAGTTAGTTAAGAGTATATGCTTCGCCAGTTATTTATGATAAGATTTTCACTAAAATGAAGCGACAATCGTGTAAATAAACAAGAAATCAGCCCTGAATTTAAATATGCAGATAGTCACTGGCAAACAACTGAGCTGATCAAATATAGCAAAAAATATTCAAAACGAACCCAGCATTTTTTGTACTCGGTGGATGCAAAGATTTCTTGCTTTCATCGAAAGAAAAAAGATAATTGTACTAAAATTCGGTCTAGATTTTTTTTTTAGCAAAAATCAGCTTCAAACCCAGTCAGAGGGATTTTAAAACCGTGTTAAAACACCTGCTCTCAAAGTTCGGACATTGTTATTCATCACTGCAACTGAAATGCAAGGCAAGGTTCAGTCCTATGATATTGTCTATGGATTCGTTTATAACTTCTGCCAGTTTTCTTAACTCGAAAGTAACCCTACTTAAACTCGTTCAATAAGAGAAAAATAAAGGCTGTCTTACGCTTGAAAGCGTCGATAAAGGACTCTTTCCAGAAGCCGGACCCAGATTACTGATCTCCATTTTCTTCAGCGTTGACGCGTTGCTAAGATTCCCGATAGTGTCATTTGTGACGTCATACCTCGCGCAAAGACTTGGCGGTGAAATTCTTATAAGCTATAGCACGCATAATCTTGGATGATGTCAAGCCAAGACAAGATAATTTATTAAACTCAGCTCGGTCTACATATTATACAGATGAGAAATTTACATAGACGATTAACTACGATACAAGTCGGAAATAAAATAGTCCACTTTCACGACTTACATTCTCAAATGTCCGAAATGTCGTAATAGTATCGCAGTCTGTATCGGTGGCCAAGTCGCTGGTAGGTAAGAAGCGTATAAACACAAGAGCGCAGGTAATCCAAGGAAATAACGTTATAGCAATGACAATGTTGTGGTTTAATAGTACGGGTTCGTGCCATCTAAGGGACTCCGAATTCCGGAATACCAGAAAAACTTTGCTCATGGAATCCGAAATCCTGGGCTTTGGAATCCAGAATCCAAGTTCCACTGACAAAGACTGGAATACAGTACCTGATTCCGGTATTCACGGCGTAAAATCCAGAATCCAAGACTGTCTTGGATTACCTTACATGAGGCGAAATGCAATCGGCTCCTGGCGAAATGGTAATGTCTGATAGCGACTGACGATATCAGAGGATCATAAGGAGTTCAACCTCGCGATCGTTTCCCTTACTTTCCCTCTTTCCTTTTTTTCCTTTTTTTCCCTTTTCCCGCTGCTCCCATTTTTTAAGGGAAAAGCACTGAGGACGAGGTTGACAAGGTGCTGAGGAGGTACTACGCATCTAAGAGTAAAGTACAATAGTGAACAGGTATAAGAATAGGACCTATCGCCCATATACCGCGCGTTAAAATGGTCACTTGATTGATGATTCACGACCATCACGTGACCTTTAGTTGAATAGAACATTAAACACATGATCAAACTGATGAAGAAGTTAAGATAACGTCGAACTATTTCGGTGAAAACTATGATCTATTTTTACCCTGAGACGAAAATGTCCTTGTCTACAGTATGATGATGGTTTTAAAACAAAGGAAAATAAAATTTGAACCAAGGATAAAACTGAACCACAACAACTGTATTGTCAAATCAGTGTTAGGTTAGACGATGTTAAACCACTCAAATCGCGCTGTCCGTCGAACAACGCCGAGTAACAATATTTGAACTTCATTGAGGAATTTCAAATGCTATGCTTGGGTCACCCGTGCAAGAAAGGAACATCGCGTACGAAAAGTCGCGGTTGGCTCTGTTATGCATCTAATAGACTTATTCATGATACCCACTATCTTTGCACGCGCATTAGGACTCATGGGATATTGCAACGTCACTTGGGACGCTTTCCATTTAGTCAAAATTTCCGGAATTTCCGGTTCGGTGGTAAATGGAACACGTTTCGTCGGTTCTTCCCACTGGAAAATTCCCAGAAAAAGTGGAAAATCTAAAAAGGAGGGACCGTTTTCCCGAACGGAATTTCGTGTTCTATTTACACGTTTCTCGTAGTTTGTACCAGTTCCAGGTCCACGGTCGGGCACAGCGACGTACCGGGGTTTACGACCAAATGGAACAACTTTTTACCAATCGGAAATTCCACTCTTGCTCCAACCGAACTTTCCGCTTTTTTTCCTAAATGGAAAGCGCCCTCGGTATTTCAGAAGTGATAAAATTTGACAGTACGAGTTATCGCGGAAGAGTTTGTGTATTCTGTCAAAACCAGACGACAATTTAAAAGTCATAAAAGGGGCATAGCTAGGATTTTTCAAAGAGAAGGTGTCACTGTGTCACACCAAGGGTTCTTACCAGATTGGCATGTGGCATCCATGCCGTGTTTTACTGAAAGTGACATTTTTTCGGATGAGTAGTGAGAGTGGGAGGAGGGAAAAGCCTACAAAATAGCCGCATAGATGAATTAAGTCCACGTAACGTAAATTACTCTATTTTGGTCTCACTGCTCATCACGAAGGAGGTCATGGGCACCCGAGTCCCCGCCTCCCTACCCTAGCCACGCCCCTTCGAATTTCGACAAAATTTACATTATTATTGTTTGCTGAGAGGAAATCTTTGCTCGCTACAGCATTCAAAGAAGTAACAATGATCACTTCCACCCAGAGTTTGCCACTATCTTCTTTACTATCAAAAGTTCTTCATTTTCTGTTGTCTATAATTAGCATATTCGACCACGATTTCCTGCATTGGCAAATTTCTTCACTTGTTTACTCCCCTGAGAAACCACTTGACATTGCTTTTATCTCAACAGTTCTTAAGCGCGTACAAAGATTGCGAGTATCGTGAATAAGGTCTATTGCTCAAGAAAGTGGTTGGCAGCATTTTGCCCAGCGTAAACTGTGGAAAAGCCAAACCATCGAGCCACGAATCTACCTTCGGCGCTCAAGTATAAAGTGCTATAACGGTGATAAGTACAATAATTAACGCCCCGTATTCCACTCGTCCTACTTTGGATTTAGGATTGCAAGGGTCTATAAGGTAGTTATTACACAAGTCGCCATCGCAGCACAGTATGCAATGTTTTGTCTTCTGATATGTTCCTATCGTGTATGTCGTATTAAACCTCCTACACTCGGACGCGCAGTATCTTGTATACTGATGAAGGGAACTGTTTCCAGGTGGTTCTTTCTTGTAAACCGCACAAAACTCATGATCTCTAGAACATGTGGTTTTCGCCACTCCACCGAGCGATTCAGGGGTACAGCCGGCGTTCGATTTAGAGTCGCATTTATAGCATACCGCACTTCCTGCGATGACAAGAAAAGAAGAATCAGTTCTCTAAACTGAGCAGTTATCATATCCTTCAAGTCCCGGAGGGGGGGGGGTACTTCTTAGGAGTGGGCTAATGGGTATGTGCCGCTGGATAGGGTCTCATTTTCACGACTGTATTAACCATTATAAAGTTGCATTTTTGTAATTTTATAAGAGTTACCAGAATGGGGTCGCACATTTTTCGGATTATGGGTGTCAGAAAATTCAGGTTTTAGAGGTTTAAGTATAGAAAGACTTACACCACAGTAAGTTTAACAAATGCGTCAGTTCATTTCAGGATGACCAAGTTAAAAGGCATTATAAGGTAGATGCATAAATAGAAGGTGACCAAGATGGGATTGCGAAAATTACTTTTTTTGTAAAGTGACTAAGATGGGGTCTATAGTAAAATTAACCCAAGTACCCCCCCCCCCAAAGACTTCAAGTAAAATTGAGGTGACGACTTACACTGGACCTAGTGGTATTGCCTGCAAAGGGCCTGGGAACGATCTAGGGACCACATGGTCTGGTAAACTGCTCATGGTGTAGTTGGCAGGATGAAGTGAAGTGAACAGACCTCAGCTGAAAGAGTCAGCTGTATTCACAACCCTTTACTTTGTTGTTTTTAGACCGGGTGGGTAAGAGAAAGGGGTGGAGTAAGTGTCGCAGAATCTGGAACTCACAGCATGGAACCCAGAATCCCAAACTGTGTTAGATTACCATAAATCATCTATTAAGCCCCCCCTTTTCAGGGTAAGAAAGTTAATAGACTCCCCCTCTCTATAAAGCCCCCCCCCCTCCCCCCCTTCACCCTCACAGCCCCCATTCCAACACCCCCCAACACCAACACACAAACACCTTACAACTACCAAACACCCCACCACCACACACAAATCAACCTGTATGTACTAATCAACGTATTTTTTTGAACGGGTGGGTAAGAGAAAGGGGTGGGGTAAGGGTGGCAGAATCTGGAACTCACAGCATAGAAACCAGAATCCCAAAATGTGTTATATTAACATAAATAATCTATTTAGCCCCCCCTTTTCAGGGGAAGAAAGTTAATAGACCCCCCCCCTCTATAAAGCCCCCCCCCCCCCACACACACACACACACACACCTCTCCTAATCATTCTTCACTAATAAATGATAGACTGTATTAATCAATCACGACTGTAAAACTTTGTGTGGACTGATCCGGGATGGTTTATTTACCAACTGGAAGTTTGGATTTGATTCCAATCCTCCGCTGCATGACCTACAACCTTCTTGTACTTCAACTTTTCCACTTTGTATTCTTGTTACTTTACTGGGAACTGATACCATTGTATTTTCTAAATTAAATAAGCCCCTCCTCTAATATAAGCCCCCCTGTCTTCATTAAGCCCCCCCCCACCCCTCAAATGGGGCTTGAAATAATAAGCCCCCGAGGGCTTAACAGAGGATTTACGGTACCTTTCATGGGGAGAATTCTATTCATCACCAAAGACCAAAGAATACTTACCTTCACAGATCAAATACAAAAAGGGTGCAGCCAGTAAGACATACAAGGTGGCATAAGTACCAGGCGCCATCATTACAACACTTGATTGGTAGAATTAAGGTCTGCAAAATGATTAAGATATCTGTTTTAGTCCTGAGTGCTCTGTGATTGGAGAGCAGTGAAAAAATCTTGTGTCTTTTGCCTTTCTAAAGTGATTTAATGGTGTCAAAAATTGGTTTGCACTCGAGTTCACATCTCTGATGAGTGCCTAGGGGGGCTACTCCCTATGATGATATGAGGAGGCTCCACCCAAAAGGGATACCTTTTTCAGGCTTCAGGTATATGAAAGGGTAGGGATTTCACTAGTTGAAGTATATAAAAGGATAAGGAAATCTGTCATTTGGGTCTGTAAAAGGGCCCAAAAGGGTTAACAGATGAATTTTATGGCTTTAGAGTGGTTTTCGTTTGAGTGTCGTAAAACCAAAACCAAAGTAATTACTCTGGCCAATCACATAGGACACAGACAATACATTGAACCAATCAAAACTCGAAGTAATTACATGTGGCTGACGCAAATGAGCGCGTCACAATTGGCTTTGGTTTTACTTCTGATTGGATGAAAAGGTGGCGCGAATCTTTCAAGCCAATCGCATCGTGTAGAAAGTGCAAAACCAATTACTTTTCGACACTCAAATGAAAACCGCTCTAAAAAGTCGTGAAAACGTTCTATTTTTGTGATTGATTCTTATTTAAAAGACAGTGCATTTACAGCAGTTAAAAGGGATGGAAAGTTCTAAACAAGGTAAGTGAAGGGATACCATTTGTCAATAGAAGGAATACAAAAGGGGTACCTTGTTTATGAAAAATGGTATGTAAAAGCGAAAGGGGTTGGACCTCGGGGCAGAGACATTTGTTGAGTACCCTCCCCCCCACCCCCGGGATGAGTGACTATATTATCGAGGCATACGTTATTGAAGTCAAATAAATGATCTTTATCAGTCATTTGATCAGCTACAACATGCTAAAAGCAACAGGAGTCAGCTTCGCCTAATAACATCAATAACATCAGTGAGCTGTGGATCAGAGATCAAAGAACTTGAGTAACACAACGTAATCGGCTTACTACATGGCCCTACATGGACAGCTTTTTACAGGATCGATAGCGCTTCTATGAAATCAAAGGACAGTTGAACCGAATTCGAAAAAGTAGATGTTATCGAATCTTAGAAGTCAACTACCTAACGTCAACGCAAAGCGATTTTTTGCAACTCAAGCTGTGTCCTACCTTACTGAATCAATCCTTTGCTTAACAACAAATGTATCAGTAAATCTCGCGATAAGTCGGAGTTCAATCCTATCTAAACATACCTACAAGTTTCATATGGTATCCAACGCACCTTCAAATCAATTTGATTGCATCTACTTCGTTTAAAACACATTAAAAGGTTATAAACACCATTTTAACGACATCGATATGGTAATAAAGAAAACAGCAGAGTTATTCTGTCACGCTTGCATGCGTATTCGGTAGCTTTATCGATTGACGTCAACATGAAATTAATCCTGTGTAATAAAATAACAAGAAAGGGTAAGCGTAACCATAGCAACTACATTTAAAGGCACTTGACAATCCTAATAATTTGCTGGAGGCGAGAAACGTCGCAGCCATGCAAGCCAATTAGGAAGCAAACACTAACATTCAAGTTTCCTTCATTGATGTTTAATTTAGCATTGTACACATTACTTCTAAAGATTCACAAAATAAAACGAACAACTATCTCGGGGCCGTAGCCAGACTTTAGAACAAGACGAGCCAACTCACGAGCGCCGGAGGTGCGAGCTGCTAGGGGGGTCTGGGAGCATGCCCCCCCCAAGAAAAGTTTGAAATCTAGAGGCTCAGAAGTGCTCTTGTAAACATCTTCCGTGTCATTTTTCTTCAGAAAAGTCAATCTTGGGCAAGTGTAGAAGTTCACTTTTTTATTGCTCAGCGATACTGGTGCCAAGTTAATGACCATTTGTATTTTAAATCATTCTTAGTCAAATGTTGTAACACGTATTATAACAATAAAATGAATCCACGAGAGTAGCCAACGTTTATGGATTTTTTACTGTAGGTAATTGGGGGATGTCTTAGGTAACACTTTTAGGAAGCTAGGTCTTAGATGATACACAGAATCACGTTCAATTATCAATTATCTGTTTCGATACACTCTTGCTTATGTTCTTCAACTTTGAGCTGACAGCCATGCCATAATATTGCCATCTCTTATACTTGTAGGACTAAGAAGTCACTAACTTTCACGATTAAGAGTAGTAAACTTCTCCCTTAAAAGTTAGAAAAGCGAAAGTTTTTTGCCTGTCGTTTGTTCTTTACTGAGAGCTAAGGAATTCCGTCTGTGACCAGAGGCATCTCATCTCTTTAGAACTGAACTGAACTGCTGTCAGTTTCCGTTGGTTTATGAATGTACGCTAAAGCAAGCCCGTACAGCCTCGCATTAGCCATCCTTGTTCGGGACCAGGTTTTAAGCCTTCTCAGTGAGCTGAAGTTTCTTCGAAAAAAAAAAAAAAGGTCAAAATGAAGACGAGGCAACTGCTTCGTCTTGCCTCATGCTAGAGGTATTTTACAGTGCCGGATCCGGACCCTGAGATAAGGGGGGACCATGCAGGTCTCCAAAAATTCTTTTGTGGGGTCCTTCGGGCCTCAGCTTGGTCCCCTGGATCCACCACTGTTTTAAGAAATCACATAATCATTTGAAATCCTTTCAGACACGCCATAGTATTCAGAAAATTTTTTTCGCGCAAGGAATCACGATAAAGGTCTTTTTCTAACCGTCTTTTCAGATTTTAATTAAAATTCCGTGAAGTTATTTTTTCTCTTTTTCTTTGTTTTCCTTTTTATGTATTGCTGAAAACCTCTACGCTAATACTTATTGTTGTAACCTTTTGAATTGGTCAGTGGAGGACAAGAGTGTTTCTTAGCTCCAGGCTATGGTAATTTCATTACGTAATCAGCCAAATTCGTCTTAAGTATATTCTTTGTTTGCAAGTGTGTTTGCTCAATATTATAACCAAGTTTGAGAATTAATTATCCCAAGTACTAAGGCTTATGACTTCTCGGGTGCCTGATAGTTAGACCTGGTTAGTCTTACCTCTTTGCTCCATCTTTCTCCGTGGGTTCTTTTCATTCCCAGCTCTTCTTGAGTTCTGTATGCAAATTTCGGTCAACTAAAATCAATATTCAGGTACTTTCGAAACTTCGGCTCTTGCGGTATACAAATCTTGTCCATGGTGGATCACATTAAGAACTGGAAGAAGAGTCGTAAAGTAAGTAACGTAAGCTGCTAATCGCTCAGTACTTCGTAAATTAAGTAGAACGGTACTGTGAGTTAAAAAAGATTCTTTAAATCGCAAACGGGACATTGCATATAATTATAAACACGGAAAACCGTGTCATGACATGACGGTGCAGTGTCTGTATAAAGCGTCTAACGGGTAGCGGAAATAAAGCCCTTTATTATAATTTTACCTTTAAAAAGAACAAGGTAAAATCGCAAAGTCATGCGTGTGTGTTGCCAGGATAAAGGTGTAAGTCCCACATTTTTCGTTGTTTATTTATCTTTTTAACTGAAGTCGATTCAGATCAGTTCAAACTGAAAGAAGTATGGACGTACTTTCTACCGGCACATTTTGTACAACCGATGCCCAAACACTTACATAACTGAGTGCACGCACTTAAAGACGCATCTTCTTCATATTTATTCCCTTTTTTCTTAAGACTAGTTAAGGAGCGCCACTCGCGACTAATATATTTCGGAAACACAGCCTTATCAACTTTTAAAAGTTTTTATTTGTGTGTAGCGCGTGATTATCATACAAAATAGATGAGAGCTACTTAGCATGACAGAACCAGAATGATAATCTTTTTGTTACAATTGTTATACGTGTAGCGACTAAAAATAGCAGGTGTTTAGCCAGTGACATAAACTGATCAACTCTTGCAGTTACTAAAGACTACAAAAGTTGTTATCACATCCAAAGTGTGATGTGTCAGGATTTTGATACTTGAAGTTTTTCGGCCACATAGCTTCTAAAAGCAAGCATTTGGTCGAATTTTGTGAAAAACGGTCAGCTTTTCTTAAGATGCACATCAGTTATCACAGACTGGATTTGCCATAACACATCTTGCATTTGAAAGCTGCTAGCCAAATTATACACAGAAGTACCTTTGGAGTATTTACTCCACGACTTACAACTTTTCTATTTTAGAGGTATGCTAAATCACTCATATTTTAGTTCAAGAACTGGATAGACGTAAGAAAACCTTGGCACCAACGTATTGAGCGGTACTAAATAACAATAATTTTCCGGGCTATTTTTGTTTATCACGCATGTCTTGTTTAAGACACGCTATGTTGCTTTTAATTACAGTTTGAATTATTTGGTCTGCTTGACACTTTTTCTTATTCTCGACAGAACCTGTGGTGAAGTTGATGTTAAAAAATAACAACAAGAATGTGGTATAACCCTTGGTTCATTTATCGCGTGATAGCAGTTCTAATATTTAGTGGACTAGGTCACTGGATTTTGCGAGGTTTGTGATACTCTCATTTTTAATTTAGCATTTTAGGCTTATTCGAGAACGTTATACGCATGCTTTTTGGTTGAGAGACACCTGCCCGAGGTCGAAAACGTACCCTACGAAGTACGTTCATTGATGGTTTTCAACCGGCATGATTGTTTAAGTGATGACAGGAGATAGTCTGATGTTGAATAAATCTCTTTTTCCACTTAAGAAAATGATTTCAAAGACTCAATCGTTTTCAAATTCATCTATATGTCGAGTAAAATGCTTTAAAAGTAGTACGTAGGAGGTCGCTTAGTTTTCAGTCTGCAGCCTTTAGTGAAAAGAAGCAGTTCGACAGCATTTTAATCTCTTTAGCCTGTGATATTTAGAATCCCCTCTAAACAACATGGTTTGGATGAGTGAAAACCCAGCCTGAGTGACATTTCACGGCTAGGAAATTTTTCTCTTCGAGCAGTTCGCAGGCAATTCCTAACAATGAATTTCACTTGCCCTGGCAAATATTCAAAGAACCGGTCTTTATCGCGCACTCAGCTAGGAAATACATGTTTCCTTCGATAGAAAAAAAGGAAAAACAAGAAGATGTTAAATTGCGGGCATTAGTTTACCTGGTTATTCATGTATGACACTAGACTGAGTACTTGTATTTATTCTACTGTTTTTGAATTCATTGTAGTTACGGTAAGTTCCATAGACACCTGCTGAATCATGTTTTATTATTTAAATTTACACGATATCGTGGTGCTTATTAACAAAATTCATTTTTTTCTTTTCTACCATCACGTTGCCATGTCTACAATTACATGACGTATAAATACGGCATGTCTTATACGTCATATGGCCTAATAGTCATAACCACGGATGTCGCACTTTATTGACAAGGTTCATCATTCAAAAGAATTCTAGTATAAAAGGTGACCGAGGCCTGTTATCATTACTTTAAACAAATGAAGTGGTTTATTCTTCGAGACATCGATCGAGTAGTATTTAACTCAGTCGCGATAATTCTGAAAAATATTGATAGTGATTTAGATGAAGGAATGCCACACTTGAACAATATTTGTTGCTCTCTTAATCGTAAACTAAAACAAAAGACCTCCTTTTTTGACCGAAGAAATTCATAAACAATGACATCGCATTATTTTGCATTTAAAAAGAGTTCAACTCTTTCAGTCTTTACTCTTTAAAAATCATGCGAGATGACTTTCTAATCATGTCTTAAGGACTTTCACGGATTATTTATTCATTATTTGTTTATTTATTTTTTAATTATGTTTTTGACTAAGTTAAAGTGGATTAACGAAACCAAACCCTTAACTCGCCAGAGGCAAACCAGTTTGGTTATTTAGACGCATTACAAAGTCGTTGAACTCGAGATTACGGAGAGCAATCCCTGCTGGTCGACAATTTGAACCTTGGGTGACTGAGTTGAAATCCAGCCCAGTAAACTATTCACTGCCTTGTTCAGTTATTTATTAAAGTCTGAAGCTCTAACACTCCGTAACACTGACTCTGGTATGATAGGATTGTGAAACTCTGAAGGCGTGAAGCCCAAGAGAACATAAAGGCTTTCTGTCCCAGGGGGGAGTACTCCAGATTTCAAGTGACATGAAGGATTTTTGGGAGGTTGAAATGTTCTATTTTGGGACTTTTTTTTGGGTAGGAAAATTTTGGCAGTATTTATTGGGGTAGCTTGATTTAAGCAAGGATTTTTTTGGATATTCAAAATTAACATGTTTCCATTTTTCGTGTTATATCATTTACTGCTTTGTGGAAATTTTTATGGCTCGGAAATTCGGCATGGGATTTTTTGGGTTTTGTTGGAGGCCCTAGGGATTTTTTTGGGTGTTAAATTTTGCCCCCATTCGATCATCCCTGTCACTTGAAATCCGGGGTACTCCCTCCCTCCCCCCCCCCGGGCTTTGTGTTCTCTTGGTACAAGACAGTGCAAACGTTTTTGTTCCAAAAGTACCAAGAGTTGGCCGCGGTAATTTAATCAAAACCGGTTTTACAATTACGTACTTTATTTTTCACATTTGTAGGTACTGATGGCTGTGAACAAGGTAATCCTAGTCTTTATTTCATTGACGACCACAACATTAAGTGTGTGGAGTTTCAATCACTTCATCAATCTAACCCAAACATCAGAACAGTCGTTTCCAACATTGCCGAGGGTACAGCAATAGACATAGATGTAAGAAACAATATAGTGTACTGGAGCGACACTCACGCCTGGACAATAAATAAGAAGAATCTCACATCTGGAGAGGTGAAGGTCATTCTGAAGGAAGACATTGGGGAGGTTTTTTCCATAGCTGTTGAATGGGAAAGTGGCTTGATCTACTGGACAGATTATCTCTACGAAAGAATAGAAGTGGCAAAAACGGATGGAAGTGCTAGGAAGACATTAGTGACACATAATGTTAAATCGCCCGTTGGAATTGCCGTGCACCCAGGAAAGGGGTAAGTTGAGTTTTATACATGAGTCATATCCTACAACATCTCTGAACATCATTTCAAACACCTCCTGGGGACACAAGGATACGAGTGCAAGTAGGCTCTAACTGAACCCGTTCCCTTGAATCTGGCCTTAGTATTCCTTCCGTAGCAGAGACTACGGGAGGAACGCACGGGTCCATAAAATTATTACCACTAACACCTCTTGAACAGTGGCACCCAACGAGAATATAAATCAAAACCACTTAAACATAGCATTTACGTATTTTGGTATTTAAACAGTAGATATAGGCATATGTTTATCCCCTAAAAAGTTTTCATCGGATTTCCTAGCTGAAAGTCTAGTGATCCGAAAATTACAGGGGTCAAAACTTACCTTTTCGAAAATTCAGCCAGAAAAAAAGAATCCCGAAAATTCTAGGTGACCTTTTCAGGGTAAAAATCCCTTTAAAATGGGCAGTCATACCATTTTTTAGATGTTCGAAAATCCTAGGAGAGGCAGGCAAGCGAGAAATTGTACAACAAATGTTCCGAAAATTCTGAATCTCAAATCGTCTTCCGACGGAACAGATATTTTCCGAAAATTGACGTTGGGTGCCCGTCTTGAAATCCCATGATTGATCGTTTGTTTAACCTTTTTGTTAGATACCTGGTTTGGTCCGACTACGATTACAGTCAACCGAAGATAGTACGCGCAGATTTAACTGGTGAAAATCAGCGAGAATTGTTCACGTTATTTCACGGCGTGCCCTTGTACCTAACCATCGACTACTCCGAAAACCGTGTGTACTGGGCTGATATTTTCTATACCAACACCTTCATTGGTTCCGTGAGCCTCGATGGAACCCATTTTGCAGCGATTGGATATCTATCTCAATCATTTTTTCCATTCCATCTGGCAATTTTTCAAAATGACCTTTACTGGGCTGACGTGAATAGGCAAGGAATAGCGTGGTTTGATTTCAAAGGTTCTAACAGCCGAGTGATAACTAGAGATGATCTTACAGAGTACAGTTTGGTCGGACTTGCGACGTATGATCCATTAAGACAACAAACTGGTAGGTTAAATTTGACATTGTCTGTAGAGAGGTAGCTCATCTTATTCCAGGGAAGGAGATAAATTTTGCCAAGATCGCTCAAAGTTATCTGCACGACTTTTCCCTTTCCTGATCGTCCTATTATCTTTATCTGCGAGCGTTTTGAGCGAGAAAGAATTATTTCGAAAGAGAAACTAATTGCAAACAGTCTATTCTCTAAATGGGTATCAGTACCCGCGATTTGTTGCTAAGTAAACAAAAAAGTACTTTCCTTTGAAGAAAGAGTAACAGCAATTCGTGTAATAAGCTGTATGAAGCTTCTGTCCAACAATCTGTTACTCTCCTCTTATTATACTAGTAATAGTTGACACTACGGCTGCCCCCGCTCTGTATATTGTCGGTCAATAGTATTCTTGCAGTTGTGTAGCTCTTTGAAATATACCGATTCATAATGAAGATTCAGTCACACATATTCCATACAATACGTGAGACAAATACAGGAAATGCAAGGTTCCAAGCACCGTTTCAGTTCGATTTACACAGCTTTGATCAAAACCTTCTTAGTTTCTAGAATAGTTTATTTTCAACCAAAAGAAAAAATTTATTAGAAGTTGAATTTTTCGCTTTTTCTCTTTCACTTTTTACATTCAGTTCATTTTATTTGCCGGAAAGTAAGCCTTAGAAAATAATAGGAAGTTTGATCAATTCAAGCTCGCGCATTCTAGTCTTATTTTAAACTTTATAGTTGAAGGACATCTGTGAGCAGCGAAATAAGTCAGCACAGAATTTGATTGTCGGCGAATTTCTGTAATCGTCCATCGTTCTGCTAGTGATAAGCTAGGCGTTGTTCACTCGTCTTGCTGGTTTTGGGCTGAGCCTTATTCCGGTCAAAGAGAGAGAAAGAGTTTCTGGCAAGGTTTTAAATCAAAGATTTGTGAACTCGTGTCTGGCATACTTTCCAAGTGTTTATATATACACAGTTATACGCACCTTGTAACTTCATCTGCGCTTAACGAGTATCTTTTGGTCCATAACTTTCAAAACAACTGCTCCACAGAATGTCACTGATAACACGTAAAGCAAAAGAGTATCGAAGTATGACTGCACAATGCATGTCACAAGATCCTGACCTAAGGGGTCCCTTCGGGATTTTCTGTCTTTACGTCATCCTAACCATTTCGTACTTGCGGGAGCAAACAATAGAAACGTCATCATTACCTACCGATTCCTCGCGGCCCCTGTTCAGGCAAATCGAGATTTTTCTATATTGACCGTATGTATATTTCAACTCTAAGTACTTTCCGTAATATACGCGCGAGTTACTAGAGTGCCTCCTCGGGATTTCGCCTTCTGGGCGAAATCCCTGCGGGGGCAATAAGCAGCAATGAAATACCAGGTGAGCTTTCGCCCGAAAACATTATATCTTCACATGTGAAAATAACATGTTATCTTCACACGTGAAAAGATCACCGTTGCTATGGCTACATACTAAATCGCGCCTTTCACAACAAAAAACTCAAAGTGAAATGATTCGGTGTTTCATTGGTGGCTATATAATAAATAGAACATTCGTTTCTCGTGTTGAAGAAATATTTTTCAACACTTGAAGAGAAATTTATTATTTCCGCGCGGCCATTTAATGTCCTCTTCACTCTCTCTCCAACTTTGTTGCAACAAAAAGTTCAGATGACGTACAGAATGAGATACATAATACTGTAATAGGGTGCTGCTTGAATGTTATAAATGTACTTTTTAATGTGATCGACCGTTTCTACCAAAAACGGTTAAATTGATTTAGACTTGACTTTCCTAAAAAAAACACGTTTAAACCGGTTTACACGGTTTTAAATCAGCCGTGGGCATAATTACCCCAGGGGTACTCTCCTGGACGCTGATTTTCTGCTAACAGATATGCTCGTCGTTTTCCACCATTTCAACCAAGTTGTGGTGGTCAGTTTTGAAAAAGTTGATCTATCGAATCAACGAGCGAGAACACAAAATTGGCCGAACAACTAAATATAGTTGAACTCAACAGAACATGAGCTTAACAAACCCAAAAACATAAAGGCCCCTTTTTGTATTTGTGAACTTTCATGGCTGGTAAATCTGTCAGTTTGACAAACATCTGTTTTGTTGTTGTTGTTCTGCGGTAGATGGAAGTGGACCTTGCACAGAAAACAACGGCAACTGCAGTGATTTATGTTTGCTGACTCCAGGAAGAGGAAGGAAGTGCGCTTGTCCACAAGGCATTACGTTGAGTTCAGATGGACTGACTTGTAATAATGGTAAACTAATATTTGATTACTTTTTAAAACCATTACCTTTGTTCCAGCTTTTAGTTTTCCTTATTATGTATCTAACATACGGCTTTTGTCATTTACAGCATCCACAGCTGCAACGCAGTCACCACCCCTTCCAGGTATGCTATTGGTGAATTTACATGTTGTGTCTGGTAATTATTTTTTTTAGCATTAAAATACTCGAGGAACAAGCAATTTTCGTCGATAGTTCTACCCAGCCCACATACAGTGGAACCTATATTTAACGAAGTGACAAGGGACTGGAAAATTGTGTTCTTTATATCGAGGGTTCGTTATATCGAAAACCTCGATTTAACGAAATGTTCGTTGTATTGAGGTATAGTTAATGACTAATTTCCAACGCCCAGCATTTCCGGATCTGAACAATTTCTATACGGTCAGCACTCGTTAACATCCGTCGAAAGGGTCTTTCTCCCCTTACGATTTTTACACAAGGTAGAACTGTTTTCTACTTTTATATCACACCTAGATGATATTTCAAGCTGGAAATCATTTATGAAAGTGCGAGTGTCTTCAATTTAAGAGAAAAAAATTGATACGAAAGACAAGAGAATTCGAACCCATGACCCTGCCTTTTTTCCCCCGACTCGAATCAACGTCTCATACCCAGTACGCCACACTAACCATCCACTAACTACTAGACCACTGAGGATTTGTTGGATGGCAGGGAAATAATTTAAGTACACATAGCATCGACCCCAACCCAAAAAAAGAACCTAACCAGTTTCGAAACAGTGCTTAACCCTAATCAGTAAAGGCGGAGCTTAACCCTAATCAGAAAAGGCAGTGCTTAACCCTAATCAGAAAACGCAGTGCTTAACCCTAATCAGTAAAGGCAGAACTTAACCCTAATCAGTAAAGGAAATGCGAAACGATAAAGAATACTACGTTGTGCAAACTTCATAAGGTGTCCAAAGGCCATTCGACAGATGTTAAATAGTGTTGACTTTTCTGTACGTATTAAACATTTATATACGAAGCTATTGTCTCAATCCAGAGCTGTTCATTGCTACGGCACTAGAAACGCAAGAACAGGCAAAAAAAACTGCTTAAAACTACTGTACACATAAATTTTATCCTCGTTGATCTGCTTCGCATTCTTAAGCTGTCTTTCGGTCACATATTGACGTATTCGTTATATCGAGGTTTATTCATTACGTCTGCGTTTTTAGATCGTGTTCGTGATAACGAGGATTTCGTTAAATTGAGGTTCGTTACATCGAGGTTCTGTTCCATACATTTTACTGTAATTTTGGCCGGGCTGAAGAAAATCGTTCGTTATACCGAGGACTTCGTTATATGGCCTTCGTTAAATCGAGGTTCCACGATACCAGGAAGACCAATCTTGGTGAATAAGCTGTAAATTATTGCGTTCGATGAGGGAGAAAGCGTACCAATACAAAAGTAATCGAGAGAGTTGGGCTTGAATCACTCTATGCGATCTCAGAGGCTAGTTTAGCCATCATAGAAGTTTGAGGAGCAAGAGATATTATGTCAGTGTACATACATGTCAAAGCAACCTCAATTTTTCAGCGTACTGCTGCGCTGCTTAAATAAGGAGTGTATAGTACATTGAACACAAGCAATATAACACTCAAAAAAGTCAGTAAAAATTGAAAATGACAACGCTGAAAAGATCATTATCTGAAAACAAATTTTCTTTTTTACATACAAGCTATCGAAGTCCGTCTGGTTGGCTCGGCACAATCCAACCAAGGTCGAGTGGAAGTGAAATACAACGGACAATGGGGGACAATATGCGACGATTATTGGGGAATATCCGAAGCACATGTCATATGCCGCATGCTGAACCACTCTGGGGCAGAATTTGCGCTTCGAGAAGCGGCATTCGGTCCCGGAAGAAGTTCTTACCCCATTTGGCTGGACAGCGTAAAATGCAGAGGTGATGAGCCTACCATTGCAGCTTGTCGGCATGATGGATGGAGACAACATGACTGCCGACATAGTGAGGACGCCAGTGTGGTCTGTTGGAGGGATTCAGCACCTAGTAGTCAAGGTAAAGCGCTTCGCAATTCCCTGATGATTAGAAAACCTTTCAACAGAAATCTCAATCAAATAGTTTCAAGTCTGTTCCTTACGGTTAAAAGTGCTAGGACGTGCATGGTTTCTGGCTCATGTTCCCATAACAGATTATTAATTACCCTTGGCTATCAGGTAGTTAAGGATTATTAAGGATGAACAAACAACATTGAATTAATCATAACACCATTTGACGTTCTCATATTATTCTTATTTTTTTGGACATAATAGAACCAACTTTGGCTCCAGGACCACACCCTGGTACGTATATATTTTGGTGTTAATTGAAATCTCTAAATCGTTTTAAGTAATTATTACACCTTAGTTTTAGTTAATTAAGTTAGATACACGGCATTCATAGAAAACAGGTCTAGTTTAGTGTAATTATGAGTAGTATTTTTACTAAAGGGACTCTTTAGATACGTTTTTACTGTTAGTAAATATTGTTATGTAGTTGTATTGAATATTGTGCCAAAAAAAGACCTGATGAATTTTTACCATGTTGAAATAAAGATTGAGATTTGAGATTTAGATTTGAGGCCGTGGGAGGATTAGCTCAGTCGGTAGAGAGCTTAACTGCAGAGAGGGAAGTCGACGGTTCGATCCCCGGGGCCAGACCAATTAATACTCTGGGTCTTAAAATAACTGAGAAATGAAGGTACCCCCCTTGAACTGAAAGCGGCTAGACCTTCGCGTGGCTCGGATGCCCCACGTAAGATGGCGGTCCCGTCTCCCGTTGCAGACGTAAAAACAGTGTCCCTAATTAGTACTTTCGGGCTAAATACATTGACATTCAAATTAGGTGTTTTTTTTTTCCGGCTGGAGGCGCCTTCTAACGTCTTTCAATACCTAAATCGGAAATTGTCTAACAACTAACGTCTTTCAATATCTAAATCGGAAATTGTCTAGAAACAGACCAAAACTGGTTCAACCATGCACCAGAGGTTATGAATTATTCGCTGTTCATATTGAATGCTGCACAACGAGTTTAAGCATTCCAACCAGGCTGCTGCTAACTATATCCTGCCATCATATTAATTAAGAGCAGCCTACAGATGTATTGAATAGTATGATATTCGCCTAATACCTTGTAATAGCAAGGTTTTCATATGACAGTATGACGCGAATATAATTTCATTGCCTTCACAGAACTTGAAATACGCTTGCACGGTGGTGAGACGCATTACGAAGGTGGGGTTGAAATCAAACTAAACGGAACCTGGGGAACAATATGCGATGATTTTTGGGGGATCGAGGAAGCTAACGTAATTTGTCGCATGTTGAACTTTACGGAGGGAGCTCTAAGTACACAATGCTGTGGCTTTTATAACGGCTATGGGATCGCCGAAAAAATATGGCTGGACGATGTTCATTGCGATGGTGATGAACAAAGCATCGCGGAGTGTCGTCATGGCGGTTGGGGAAGTCACAACTGTAGGCACACGGAAGACGTGGGAGTAGTCTGCAAACATTCACCAGTGTCAGCACCAGGTAGTCATTGTTCTCTTAAAAATACATCTTGACGACGCTCGACTATGAGCTCGTTATGCGAAATGGGAGTTTATATAGTCACTTCAAATATGATCCTTCTCCGATGACTGTTTTTCAATCGTCTTTTAATTTGACATTTCTGGATCATTCATTTCATTAATATGAGGCCACTATTACCCTTACAGCCGTCAATCCGGAGATAATATCTATTTTTTAATAATCTTTAGCTCTGTCTGTTATTAAAAGTAAACGGGTATAGTTAAACGAAAAGAGCTCTTACTCACTTGGAATTGTCCTCAAAGAAGTTTAAAGATCTGAACTGGCATAGCTGTCTTTGTATATCATAGCATTGAAATAACGAAACGTTAAGACGTTATATTTCTTCTTTTCCCCTAAAGATCAAATCGTACGACTGGCAGACGGAGCGAGGGAAAGTGAAGGAAGAGTGGAAGTTTTCCGTGACGGTCACTGGGGAACAGTATGCGATGACCAATGGGACATCAATGATGCAGATGTGATATGCAAAATGCTGAATTATTCAAGAGCGGTACGCGCTCCCGGTCACGCCTTCTTTGGCCGTGGAAATGGCAAAATATGGCTTAGTGGCGTGGAGTGCCGAGGCAGTGAAACTTCTATTCTACAATGTGGGCATCTGGCATGGGGCAGCAATAACTGTGATCACCACGAGGATGCAGCCGCTATCTGCCAACAGCGTGCACCACATTTAGGTTAGCAAATGAAGATAACATTTGGGTCGCTGCAGGCCACCACCAGTTACTGCATGTGCATGACTTATTATTAGGAGTGGATGCCAGTGCACCCCAGATTCATTTGTTATATTTTTGCATTTGTAAACTCTAGCATTCGAGAGGATTTGGGCACAGTTGGTACTTACTGCGATAGTCATGCTGCATCAAATTAAGATCATATGGGTTGCTGCAGGTGATCTAGATAAACATTTATTCTTAAATACGTCTAACAAACATGTTTTGTTTTCATTTAAGAATCCATAAATTTCATCCTGGTTTGTGAGTCTGGAAGGAGCTTAATCTACCACATTTCCCTTGATAGTAGTGGCTTTCCAGAGAAAGGGGTGCCTCTCGCACTACAGACAAATAACCCACAAGCTGTTACCTTCAATAGCGAAGACAAAATGGTCTACTGGATTGAACAGTCTGGCTCTATTGTTCGTTCCTATCTTAACGGAAGCTCAAGGCGGGTTATCGTTAAAGGGCTGACGTTCCCAGCAGGTCTAGCAATAGACCATTTGGGCCAAAATCTTTACTTCACCGACCAAAAAGGAATCATGGTATCAAAACTAGATGGGTCCTATCAGACGCATTTAATCAATTCGACGTTTGCTCATGGAATAGCCTTAGACAGTGATAATGGGTAAGAACCTCTGTCAACTATATGATCGTATGCATGAAGCAATCGACTCAGACCTTGCACATATTGTCGAACCCCTCGTAAGCCACCTCCCAGTATGTGAAGATTTAGTGGTCGCGCGCTTATGAGAGATGGTCACCTTCGCGAATTGAACCATAGGGGGAACTCTATGAAAAGAAGTTCAGACCTACCTGAATTTTGACAAATACTCTATTGCATGTAATTTCTGAGTTACGTATAAATGTAGTTCTATCACTAAACGTTTTTCGTATAAACTGAGCATCTTAGTACATAAAGCGAACAAAGAGGCTGCACCATGCATGCGACAAGCGGTCGCTTAAAAGTGGTTTGTGAAGTCTGTCGGGCCAAAAAGCGGCCGCGGTTGCCTTACGAGAGGTGGTCGTCAACGAGAGCTTCAGTCTTATTTTAGGGCCTTGACTGGGACAATTTTGGATGTTTTGTCGGATGGGTAGCAGTCGCGGATCTAGGGGAGCCGCCCCCTTTCTTTTTAGACCAAACTCAAGGTCTGGATAAGACATTAGGCAGTCGCTTATGGGAGGTGAGCATGGAGATAAGACTGTATAATAAACTTTAAGAAGTAGCATGCAATGAGACGTTTCAAGCTTTGAGGAACGTCTTTTTCTAAATCCTCTTAAGAACAAACAACTAAAATGTTCAATAATTATAGCAATCACTCAATGCATTGTTTTGTTCTGAGGTATTGTGTCTTATTTTCAGACATATCTACTTCACCTCTACTGGTACCAAACCAAAGATACAACGAGCAGACATGGATGGCAAAAATGTTTTTGTTTTGATGAACGTTTCCTCCATTCGGGAAACTAAGCTTGACGTAGCACTTGACAAAGTCAACAAACGCCTATACTATTCAGACTCAAGGAACAACTTAGTAAAATACATCGATCTCGCCAAATTCACTCTCCACCCTGTACTGTCTAATCGCCCTCATGGACCAGTGGGTCTTACCTTAATCAATGGTACCCTTTATTGGACAGGCGGTGAATTACAGACTTACAGTGGTGCTGTTTACAAGGCAGATGCAGACAACGTAAATGGTAGCATCGTACATAAAGTAATGGACCTTTTATCGTTTCCTCAAGGATTGTACGCGCACAATTCGGAAGGTGTCAGGCCATCAGGTAAGATGGTCGATCAATTTTTAACGGTCAAATAAGGGACTGTATTAAAGAAGTCTCAGTAACCCTAAATGTTTGCTTATTCGGGTCATCCTTTTGGCTTACCCGAGGAGGTTTTCCAGTAGTTGATACTGGATTTTCGACGTGTTTTGACCTCTAATTAATTTCATTCTATGCGCCAAGGCTTTAGCATTAACGTTAATGTTTCGAGAAACAATGTTTGACATTCTGTTCACTAACATTACAAAATTAACAGCTCCAAAGTACATGTAGACAAAAAAAGCGCATTGAGTGGCGCCTCGAAGGAAATTAAAAAATAAAACAATATACAACAAAACCTGGTCTCAGGGAATTTTCATTATATTAAAAACTCAAACGTTACTTAAATTAAAATATCATTTCTTTCAGGAAATCACTCCTGCATCAATGGTAACAGCGGATGCTCCCATCTTTGTGTTGTAAACCCTGAAGGATATCGTTGTCTCTGCCCAGTTAATGAGCGATGCCAGACATTACCAACATCAATTCCGACCACTACAGTGCACGTTTCTAGTGTTAGTTCAACAGAAATTGGAAAGTCAGTGTCTATATCACCAACTATAAAATCATCGCAATTGTTACTTCCCACCATCCAGCCATCCCGAAGTTTCTCCAAAGCTGGCTTATTCCAATCTTCTTTCCCGTCTGTTGCGACTCCCAAAGTTAGCATCAAAACGTCTAGCGCAAGTTCAAACGCAAGGTCATCTTCTTCACCATCCCCTTTTAACAGGCCAACCTCGGCAGTTTCCACATTGACATCTATTTCTTCAATGCCGGGCGAGGTGTGCTCCGTTAACAACCCATGTGAAAATGGAGGCCGATGTACGGTCGATGGTTTCAGCTATAAATGCGTATGTGCAGGCTATTTTGCTGGTCGGCTCTGTTCAAAAGACATCAGTAAGTTTTATGTTTCATGTTTTTTGTTATGTTTTATTGTTCAGTCCACCAAGGAACCAAACGTAGTGTACTTAATAGAAGGCTAATCTATAGCTTTCGTCTAAAACAGTGAATATTAGTTGACTTTCTATTCTGAGATTTCTGTTTGAAAAGCCTAAACAACGCGAGAGCCTATTTTTAATGAAATCAAAGTTTTGAAACCTCCATACTAAAATGGACCATGTCTGTCTTTGGTTTACCCTAAAAGAACAAAGTAATGGGCACTCAATCAATTCAATTTAAGAAGCTAATTTTTAGCGCCGTTGTTTTTGTAGGGAATTTGGTTGTTGTTATTGCCATTGAAATACAAGAAAATAAGGTGAGTTTCATGGATAGAAAGAGGAATTTTGTAAACATATATAAGCTGGTAACACAAAAACTTCTCCAACTAAATGTCGTCAATGCAAGATGCACAAATAGGCATCAGCAGGTCTTACATAGAGCCTACGTTACAGGTAATAATAATGTTAATAATCATCATCATCAACACCATCATCATCATTATCATCATCATCAACATCATCATCATCAACACCATCATCATCATTATCATCATCATCAACATCATCATCATCATCATCATGGTCATCGTCGTCTTCTTTATTCTTCTTAAGTTAAGAGATATTTCTCAAGTGACATTTACAGTCGTAAAAAACCGTTAATTGTAAAATACCCAAGAAATATGTAAACGATGAAAGACTGAAAACTATATTTGTGACAAGACAATGAATAGGGACCGGTTTTTCTTTCCTCTGGTGCTTTGCACGCAAAGACGCGTGGAGTCAAAAATTTGCTTCTGAAGGACTACAACATTACTCCATATCACCTAGGAAACGTTTTAGTGAAGTTTGCTTTAATAACTCTACTACTTTGCCCTAAGCTTTGTTTTATCAGTAAAATGCACTGTGTACATTGCACTGAAGTTATCGAATCTTGGATATTTACTTTCACATTTTCTCTTTCTTCACAGTTTGATAGAGCGGCGTTGGTGCAAATCATAGTGGAAAGCTTGAACAAACTCTGCGCGGGTGAAACCAACAGCTGCCCAATACAACTTTTAGAGTAAGAACAATTGACTCTAAATAGAATGAAACAATTGCCCACAAACCGTCATTAAAGACCTTTAGATTCTAAGACCAGTGCGACCACGAGTACGTGATTTTCTCAATACACTAAGCAGTGCGCGGGCGTGAACCAGCGTCATTTTGGCCCATTTGCACCAAGTTATAAGCAGCGCTCTTCAGGTTTCAGGTCTTTCGTAAACCGAAGCAGCTATTGTGTTCTTGTTAAGTGTTAAGCGTTTTTCTTCGTTGTTTTAAGGAGGTAGGAAATCATCTTCTTTCTTATCCAGGCCGTCTATTTTTTAAGATCAATTGTCTTCAATAACTTCAATAAAACGTTTTGTTACCCAGTTGGAGAGAAATCTTTTCCCTTAACTTGGTCTCTATGTATATGTGAAGTCTGAATTTGTTACCAACATTCTTACTTCTTTTTCAAAGGGATAAACGAAGGAGAAAACGATCATTAAAGTTGACAAAATTTACGCAGGATGACGTGATAATACCGGTTGATCCAAAGCAATCAGGTGCAAACCTTCATGTAGAGCTGGCCGTTTTAAAAATCTTGGCAGATGGTTCAACTGCTGTAGTATCCAGTGACAATCTCAGCAAGATAATACTACAAGCGGAATCAAACATCAGTGACTTACTCGGCGGGAGATTGGTTAGCGCCCAGCCCAAAGTTCCAGCACAGACCACCCAACAAACGCACAGTAAAACTGCAACGATGCCTATTACTCTTTCATCAACAACAGAAAAACCGGCGTCGCCTGGTAGAGTGGCTGCTAGTGAAGGAGGAAGCAATGACGGGGGTGTCATAGGAGGGGTGGTCGTGGCCGTTGTTGTTGTCATTGCTATCATTGCCTTCCTGGTATGGTATTTCAGGTAAGCCATTTTTAAATTTATATGAACCAATATTTTCAAAAAGGATATAAATTTTGGTGTTGGAAACACCAATCACAAGAAAACACGGTGTTAGCTGCAGTACGCCAAAAGTCGCGATCAATAACTGACTATCGTGACACAAACGATAAACGGGATCCTTTGTCAGTTTGTTTGTTCGTCTTTTAGGTATTCTTTTAGATGCGCTTCTCGTGAGGATAATTTTGCTCAAAAATAAATCTCAATAAAATGAATGCGTAGTATGTATGAACTGTGAAGATTTGAAGGATTGCTTTTCATATAAACGCTATAGTTCAATACAGCGGAATAGAGTTCAAGACCCACCCTAAAATCCAAAATTACATTTGTTGCAATTGAATATAACTAGAGGAAATATTTAAACGCTGTTGTTCATTTACAAGTTCTCTTGTAGTGGTTTGAACAGTAACTATCCTTATTTGCAACAGAAATAATAGAACTGAAAGGATTTGGTAGTTGATGTAAATTTGGATACAATTCTCCTTCACAGGGTACGAACAACTGTTCCCTACAAAAAGGAAATAGATGCACCCACAACACGCACGACTTCATTTGAAAACCCAGGGTACGATACTGCTGCTGTTGCTGGCTTTGGTGCTCCTAGCTTTGGTGCTCCTGATAGCGTGCTTTATGAGGATATTCCGCCCATCGTTCCTTCTCCCTATCAAGAAATGAACGATTTTGGTGCTGCTATTAACCCGCTTTATAGATCAACTGGCCAGGAAAATGTTTCCTCGACTGATGGTCATAGATCTAGAAAGTTTGACGCTGACAATGCCGACTTCAGTCGCAAACCAGGAATTCCAGAGGCTCCTGACGGAAACAAAACACCCAAGGAACAGGATTCCAAAATGTCCTTTGACGCTGGTATCCGTCAACAACCAACAGTTCTAATCTTAAATAACAGTGACAGGCCTGACAATTTTTCAGAAATTTAACTTTAATTGCACGTGCACGAAATGGCAAAGTACAGTCGAACGCAGATTGCACTGACTGCGAGCAGTCTCTCTTTTCTTTCGGCTTCAGTGAGGGGAGTGCACTTGAGCGAGCGTAAAGAGGCGAGACGCGAGAAGCAAGGGCGGCAGCTCTTCCCCTTTCGCGCCTTTAGTCACGCGTGTGATCATTTTTGTGTCTCTGACGTTTCGCTCGAAGGACTGAAAAAAAGAGGACTTCTCGTAGTCTAAGTCGAACTTGTACGACCACCGCTAGTGAGCAACCAATTCAGGTGATCCAAAACACCAACCTTAACATTGTATCAATAATAGCCTTCTTGTAGTGGTAACCTCTCGTAATTAGTAATCATCACCATGGAACCGGTTTTTTATTTTATATTTTCAAACGTGTTGTAAGAAACCTCTTGAACCATGGTCTAATCTCCATGTTCCCTATACGTATTACAAATTGTATGCGAAGAACGTTCGAAATGAAAGCAATAGTAAGATCTATTCCAAAAAGAACAAGAGAGCCGGAAAAGAACCCCTTGTTGTTCGACCCTCATTAGTGACCAACAAATCTTGGTATTTGGGTGGCCCCTTACGGGAGGTTTGACTTTACCTCAATGCTCGTCGTTTCATCGTAGTTGCATGAACGTTATTTCCTCAGACAATACATTAAAAACGCGTGAGTAAGCTCCTGCTTTGCCTAAACAGGTTCTTACATTAATTGTAATTAGCACTTATTAAGGCTATTTAGGAATTGGTGCATATTTTCTAAAAATTAAAAATTCATTGTAGCTGGAAGAAAACGGTGCTTTGCCGCCTAATCCTTTTATATAATCGGCATACCAAATAAGTGTTTATGTAGAAATGACTATAACAAGAAATGTAATTGAAGCGCTGATCACAAGTGCCGCCCTAGTAGTTCCAAGTGTACAGACGTTTTAACAATGGATTTTACAAAATATGAACATTAGGGACGCACCATTAGAAAACTATTGGGAGGGGGGATTTTTGAGCCGCAGGAATTCTTTTTTGTATATCAAACTCTTTGTATGAATTTTTTTTCTCTTAATTTTCCCTTGCGCGAATATTTTTTTGTACTTCGCCCGCCTCCCCCGATAAGTTTTCTAATGGTCCGTCCCTTCGGCTAAACAAGTTGTTCTATAGAGGACATGATCATTTCCGTTTCTCTAATTTTGTCGAGACTAATAAATAAACAGCGGGAATCAGCAGTGAGCCGTTTGAAAAAGAGAAAGGTGTAATTTTTCATTTCTTATAATCAACACTCTTGTACTACAAGAACACAGAGAGTGAATTTTGTTCTTTCTCAGTTTCTGAAGAGTTGTTAAATATTTTCGATATGTTAGTAGAATAGGATGCACCGAATTATCCTCTTTTGCGGGGGAATCTCATTAACTTGCGGGAGAACACTTTATCGCCGATGACGTCATCGTCTTCTTGTCTTTATCACATGAATAAAATACATGAGAATCTCAAGGCTTTTTTCACACTATACCAATGTTCCAATTTTGCCGCCTCCGGCCGGTACAAATCGTGCATATTAATGTGGACGAAGGCAAACTCGAAACACAAATCTTTACTTACCCCTCCTTCTTCCTGCTTCTTCACAATTTAGTTATTATGTTTCCCCCAGCTGTCAATCTTATGACGTCATTTCCTGCCAACAACCGTTGAAATCAAAAATCGTAAAACATCCTATTGTTAGAAGTAGAGTTTTCTGTCATTCTTCAACGTTTTAACTCAAAAGAAACAAGTTGCAAAACTAATTTTTTTGCTTGCAGCAGTTTTGTAGCCTGCCAACGCAGACATATTTCCATTGCTTCTCTCCACCTGAAAAGAGAGAATTGACGACCGGAAAAACGTCTGCGTTCGCAGGCTAGCAGTTTTTTTAAAGCCCCACACAAGAGACTACAGTAGAACATCGATAAAACGGACAACCATATAACGAATTTCTCGGTACTTTCTTAACCCCCGTAATAGTAAAACATACGACAAAGAAATTAAATTAACTGCAAACACCGTGGACGAAGATCCTACTAGTTATCAACGTTGGACTGCTCTAGGAAAGAGATCTAATATCAGCTAAAATATTAAGAACCAAAAAACATTAAGTCCAAAAACTACTGCAAAGCTGATCGTAACAACGTGTATTGCTTTTTCATAACAATATTTCGGCTGGCCATACCAGCCTTCTTCAGGTTTACTTATGTTACTGAATTTATGATGGGAATTACAATATTGTACAGACAGAAAATGTCGCAAGTAAAAATTTTTTTAAAGGGAGAGGCGGAAATTACGTACAACACAAAAAGGAAAAGAAAAACTAATAAGGATATGGATTACAATATGAGTCACGGGTACGTGAAGAATGAATTTTCTCTAGTGGGATTAACCTTAGTACAACGAAACCTCGTCATGGTCGGTCCTTCTTTATATCTAGGTTCTACTGTATCTCACTCGTACGAAGCTGAACGTTTCATTTGCGCATGGTAAAAAAACACTCTATGACGACCACAAGTACACTCTTTCTTCTTATAAGGGTATATTAAAAATATTGAGGCTGAAATTTGCGAAATTTTAAGAATATCAGACGAGTACACCCGAGGCTTAGGTTTGAAAAGGATGTAATTTTGTGTGTTGAAAATCGTTCATTGTATGTTTGTAACGTAACCCCAGATAATTATTGCTCCCACTCAACGGCAAAACGAAGAAACAGCCAAATGTTTCATGGTAGTGACAGCTCGATGAACAGTACATGAAATACATTTATTGAGCATCCAGAACGCAAAAGGAATGACCAAACCGCAAAAACTGTATGATAAATTCTTCCTTATTTAAATATAATTTAAGAATAATACAAGACATATTTTCAGCCTAAAATCGGCCGAAAAATAAGAATATTCAGCCTAGGCCAGAAAAACAACATTCTCATAAAAAAAGTAAAACAGATTAGGAGGTCAGAGCTAGCCCACTCTTACCCCTTCCCAATCCCCCCCTCTCAACTTTCACTTTCCTCATGAAAGCAATGCAAATGTTTTCGAAAGCTTTCGAAAGCCCTATTTGCCTGTATAAGTTCTAACATGAGCGAAAGAGTTGTCCGATGACTAACGTTGTAGGTGACGGCGGAAAAAATACGACGGGTGGTGGGAGATGTCACGCTCGGATGTCACACAAAACCTTTGGGGAGATGGAGAAGAAAGAGCCTGGAAACTAAGGATGAAAACGCCTTGTTCTTTCTGTACCTTGGTGTTCATGAAAGTCTTTCTGTTCTGATCTTTATGCTTGTAGTTTCAGGGTTGGCTTAAATTCTTGCAAATAGTTATTCACTTAAGCTTAGTTATAAAACCGTAGGATTAGTTTTCGGGCCGATTATTGGCAAAAACCACACACCAAGATGTCAAAGAAATCGCTAGTATTTGTAACCGGGAATCAAAACAAGCTGAAAGAGGTAAGATCTGAGTTTTTCTATATTTTAAAGGAAGCTTTGATACGTGTCCAGCTTCTTCCTTAATCCTGCTTCTGTCTATTTCCTAGCTGTTTATTGGTATACCTGGCAGTGAGTCGTGAAAGTTTCTGTTGCACAAACACATACAGCTTTAAGCTTATGTATATCAAATTCATTTCAAACCTGGAGTGTTCCACCAGCGATGGAGCCAGCCTCGAGCTCGCTGAGGCCATTTGATCCCATCCATAATTCAGTTTAGACGTCGTAAAATTAAAATTTTACTGCTTGAACAGGGAGATTCTCCATCACAGGGCGCAGTTCTTTTGAATGTACACTCAATTTCGTCACAGGTCTTGAATGTCTTTTTTATTTTATTTTATAAGGTGGTAGCAATTTTAGGGGAGGCTTTTCCATGGAAAGTGGAGTCTAAAAATATAGACTGTAAGTATCAAAATTATTATCATCATTAAAGGTTACAGCTGCAGCCAACGTGAAGGCTGCATATAATGGATTTGATTTGTACTATTATATTTTATGCTGCCCGTCTTCTAAAAAAAGAGCTAGATGTGGGGAGACACACCAGCAATGCATAGTACAGGTGCAAACATGTAGTCATTAGAATCTACTGCCAGGATATCAACTCAGGTGACAACCTGAATTTTGCTTGCACCTAGTGAGGGGAGCAAGCTAGGGAATTGGTACAGTGGTGAGAGCACTCATGCTCTTCCCAATAAGGAGGACAGGGTTCAAATCCCAGCTTTAACGCCATATGTGGGTTGAGTTTCTTGTTGGTTCTCTCCTTTGCTCCAAGCGGTTTTTTCTCCGGGTACTGTGGTTTTTCCCTCTCCTCAAAAACTAACATTTCCAAATTCCAATGTAACAAAGAACCACTCTGTGGAAGGGTTACCTGTAAACCGTTAAGTTGTGTGCTTGCACTGATCAGCATTCAGAGCAGTTCAACTGACAAAAATTCTGATGTTTGTGTCTCTAGCAATAACCTGTCAGGCTTTATGAACATCAAAACAGCCCTTTCCTTACTAAAAATTCAAAGGTTTGGCTCTTAAATTAGTTGCAGTGTTAATAGTGGCCAATTATTTAGATACACGTTATTTCTACACAGTAGTTTCAGCATATCACAATATGTATGTACATACAAATGATATGTAAATACTATTTTTATAGTACCTGAATTTCAAGGTGAACCTGATGACATATCAAGGGAAAAATGTAAAGTTGCAGCTAGAGAGGTTGGTAATTTTAAAACCATAGAAATGTAAAAATAGAAAATAAAGAATGTGAAGAATTTTTGTCACTTTTACAAGGTTTATACAAAATCTTGAATTCTTGAAAAAGTCTTGAATTTAAATTTGCAATGCAATTTTCCAGTATGGAAAAAGTTGCAAAAAGTCTGGAAGTTTTTTTCAAAGCTACGACAAGTGATTATAAGTTAATTTTTTTCCTTTGCTTGGTCAATCCCATTCAAATCATTCAATCTCTCCCATAGCTAAGACATTCAATCACAGAATGAGAAGTTTCAGAACTCTCTTAATTCCGCGTTGCACCATGGTTACTGTACATTATAATGATTATCAATGCATCATCTGTTGATCACCTATTCAATAATAGTCTAATTAAAAAATAAATTATTATTTTTGAAAAAAGTCTGGATTCAAAAAAGGTCAATGAATTTTGGATCCAAAAACGACTGCTCGAACCCTGCTTTTGACTCATATTTTAGAACTTGAAAGAAAGTGAATTACTGCAGTTAGTTACCTATAGTTGTTTTGTTTACATTTGTCAGATTCAGGGTCCAGTGATAGTTGAAGACACTTGTTTATGTTTTTCTGCATTGGGAGATCTTCCAGGACCTTATGTGTGAGTTACTGGTACACAATCAGCATAATTTTTTACTTGTGACATTGGCTGTCTTCCACTTCCCTTGCATATTTCTCTACTCAATTGTATTTTCTAGTTATTTATTCTTATAAAAACTTAACCTTTGTCAAGCTCTTTATATTATTGGGTACTTAGAGATTATTATTCTCATATTGACCCTTCTCAGGAAATGGTTCTTGAAGAAATTAGGGCCTGAAGGTAGGCTTAAGGTGCATTGCCTTACTTTGTTTTTGTTATGACTTGTATGTTAAGTATGAATGATTATTTTATCCACTGTTTGACTTGCCTGTAACCTCAAACAATCATTTTTCATGACCCAAATTTGAGGTATACTAAAATTTGCAGTGAGTTAACCTCCACTCTCAGAAGTTCCAATAAAAGTCAGTTGCTCACTTACGTCCAAGGGGAGCTGAGAGTTGCAACCCAGCATTGTTGGACTGTTTGAGAATTAGGTTAGCACTGAGTTGGTTTAAATTGGTCAAGCCATTGAATTAGTTGTGTGCTGATGACAGAGCTTTTTCTCCATAAGGACAGACGGAACAGTTTAAGAATTTTAGCCATCACAATGTGGCTTTGTAATATTGAGTGAAATTAATTAATCAGTGAGGAACAGTAACTGTTGTGGATGCACCAGATGACATCTAATAAATATGGCTTGAAATATTATTGTCTGGCTGTAAGTGTGTTGTTAACTGCTTTTTCATCTTTATACTTCTCAAGCTCATTAATAATTCCTAAAGAAAATTCAAAGGAAATTAATGTTTAATGAGTGTTTGGATATCAGATGAAAAACTGCTCATTTTTGCATCCTTAATTTCTCCTTGAAAAAAGATTTTGTTTGAGAAGAAATATCAAACATTCGACAACGTGTTTCATCACCAGATGAAACACCTCGAAGTTCGTCAAAAATACTCCGCTGCGCGTCGTATTTTCAACTCTCTTCTCCGTGTTTCATCTGGTGATGAAACACTGCGTCTCATGTTTGATATATTACTTGATGACTTACGTTTCTGTTAAGTGCATCAATTAGTACACTCAATCAGATGACTTTTTTAGGCATCTGCCTAATTGCTTCCCTCAGATGTCTTCTAGTGTAAACTACGTCATGTCTGAATTGCTACTTTCCACAGCCTGTTTAGTTTAATATTTATTATCAGTGAAAACTTTCTTCAGTTTCCAAGAATTATACTTGTATACATTTAAAGTTTAATTTATCGCCTGGGATTTAGTGGAACAGCTACCAAAGTTTGTTTATTTTTAGGTTTGCACAGACTCTTAACAGGCTGGGAAGACAAGTCTGCATATGCACTCTGTACATTTGCCTACTCAACTGGGAATCTAAAGGACCCTGTCATGCTATTTAGAGGAAAGACAATGGTATTACACCAGAGACTACATAATCTCACTTAAGTTTTTAGCGATAGTACTGGCCACCTTCTCAAAGTGAAAACAGAAAGAGAGCATAAAAAAGATATTAGTCATTGCACATTAAAAACTAAAAACACTTGTATCCCCTGTGTAGTAGGAGTTTCTGTTTGAGTTTGTTTCAGAAGTTGTAATGTGAATGAAATAAAATGGAAGAAATTAAGGTCAGGGCTAGGCTTCTGAAACATATTCCTTAATATTTCAGGGTTCAGTTCATTTGTAGTTTGTATATAGTAAATACTAGATAACTGTTTGTTAACATTTACTCTCTTGAAAATCAAAACACGAATCACAGTACTGAAGCTTAACACACAAAATCAGCAAACTGTTAAAGGAAGAATCTTTGTGATGCTGAACCCCCAGAAGGATGGAAACTCTTGGTGATCACTACTACTGATTTTGACTTCATTAATTTCTTAAAGTTAACTCAAGCATGTTTGTAATTGCATGTTTGTTTGGACTTGTCTCAACTACATTGTAATGAACCTCTCTTCTTTAAAGGGTAAAATTGTTGAACCCAGAGGTCCAAGGAATTTTGGATGGGATCCTTGTTTTCAACCTGATGGCTTTGATCAAACGTGAGTATAATAATACTGATGAAGTCCAAATTAATTTTGAGGAATTTTTGCATTGATTAGTTATGATTTGTTGAAACTTTTGATTTTACAGGTATGCAGAGATGGCATCAGAAATAAAAAATTCTATCTCTCACAGAGGCAAGGCTCTCAAAGCCTTAAAGGAGTACTTTGAGGATGCAAAGGCCAATGATGACTTTCAGGAACCAGAAAATAAGAGACCAAAAAACTTCACTGATACAAAATAACCCACAAAAACTAATTCATTTACCCCAACATGTACATGTACGCTCTAGTTAAACAGGCTTAGTGTTTATTAAAATCATTTGTTTTTTCTGACTAGTGCAGTTTTTATGATATTTGTTGTTTAATTTAACTTTTGGAATTGTCATTTGGTTAAGGGCGACAAAAATATCCCCGTATAAAACTCCATGGTGCGCGTTATGGGATGTGTGTTTCCTTCTTTTTTCCTTATTACTTCGTAATAGCCTGATTACTCTTTTTCCCTTGTAGTAGTATGTTTTGGCTAATTTGACAATAAGTCCTCTCGTTTCTCTTTTTCCTTCTTTCCTCTTCTTTGCCTGTAAACTTTTACAATTTTACAGTCCTCTCCTTCCCTATTTCGGTCCTTTCGTTTTCTCTTTCAATAGGAGAGTGTTCTGTGTTGTTTTTCTTAAAATCGTCTAAGCGAATTACCAAAAAAAAGTTATCAATGCACGGAATTTAAAACCGTAAAAACTAAGGAAGTAAAAACAGTGTCGGTAATATAACGAAGAAAATAATAGCACCGCCGGCAATAGCGTAACAACGTAATAACAAATAACGAAGAATATAATAGCATCGCCGGCAATAGCGTAACAACGTATAACAAATAAAGTAATATCTTGGCCAGTACGGTAATAGTGTAACAACGTAATAAAGGAAAAATAGCACCGCCGCGGACCATAGCGTAACAACATAATAACAAAGAAGATGATTATACCGCCGTAATAGAGTAACAACGTAATAACAAAGAAGATGATTATACTTGATCACACTCATGAAAAAGAATTTGCGTTCCGTCAGGCATTAGCACCAGACTATTTTATGTCCCTTATTATTGTTCCTGAAAAACCCCAATGGGGAGGTTCAATCAAGAATGTATGTTTGTATACAGAATGTATGTTCGTATACATGACGCCATGATGCACTTCTTTGGCAGCCATATATGATGCAAACCACAGTCGAACTTAATTGTTCACGTAGTATGAAGTCGAGTAACAAACTTAATCGCTCTGCCAAACCGAACTCAAAACTTTGATTCAGACATCGTGCTTTTGTCGTGCTTCTGCCGTGCTTGTGTCGAACAGAAGCACGACGTATGAACTGTGCCTAAATCTTCATATTTTGTTCAGCTCCCTGATTGGTTACTTTGTGACATCCGATTGTACTGCTTTTGCCACCGCTTTCATGATTGGCCTTTCGAAGCGCGTCTGTGTGAAACACTCGTCACGGTTCCTCGTCACGCACTTCATATTCTGCACTTCATGCATATTCTGTGCAGGTTGCTGGTTGTTTTATTGATTGCTCGCAGATCGTGGAGCAGTTTCGTCCAGGGAAACGATTGGTTTTGTTTGATTGATGCTTGTTGTTTTATTGATCGCTCGCTGATCGTGGAGCAGTTTCATGCTGGGAAACGATTGATTTGTTTGATTGATATTTCTAGTAGCGCGCCTGTGTATTCTCTATTGATTGCTAGCACTCTGTGCTGATTTCGTCAACGGTAACCGTTGGTTTTGTTTGAGTGATATTCTGACAGTAATAGTGTCTGTGCTAGTACGTTGGAAAAACGCCATGTCGAAAAAGCGGCGTTTAGCAAAAGGCTTTTTGCCAGATGTGATTGCGGGCAGACTTGGCGAAAAAACGCGTATACAAGAGGAAATGGAAGAAATTGTTTTGAAATTACAACGTTCCGACTGTTTATACATTTTAAAGAACAATAAAATACATTGCAGGAAATCATCACATTCACGGACAAAAAGAAAATCGCTTATAATTATTCAGATCCAGGAGGCACTTTGGAGAAATTAAGCCACCTAAAACCCTTATTTAGCCGTAATGAAGAACTTTACATTTCAAAAACGGGTCAAAGAAAAAATGCCCTTGCATCACAGGGCAAATCATGCCGACCAGAAACAATGACCGCGGAAAATCAATATGCGTGTCACGACCTCTCAGTTTAAAATAAGCGGCAAAAATCACATTTGATCAGTCAAAACGTCAGAGCGTAATCTAACCGTCAGAGAAAAAGAAAAAAATTATTGGAACAAGCAGCTTTTTGGTATGAGGTAAAAGTCATGTGTTGCCTACAGACCCCCTTTTTTACAACATGCTACAGTTTGCTGCAACTTGACGCAGTCTGGTGCAACTTGGTGCAGTCTGGTGCAACTTGTTGCACTTTGGTGCAACTTGGTGCAGTTTGGTGCAACTTGGTGCAATTTGGTGCAGATTGGTGCACTTTGGTGCAACTTGCTGCAGATTGGTGCAACGTGGTGCAGATTAGTGCAAGTTTGTGCAGATTGGTGCACTTTGGTGCAACTTGGTGCAGATTAGTGCAATTTGGTTCAACTTGGTGCAGATTGTTTCAACTTGGTGCACTTTGGGGCAACTTCGTGATGAGTGGTGCAACATGGTGCAGTTTGGTGCAAGTTGGTGCAACATGGTGCAGTTTGGTGCAAGTTGGTGCAACTTGGTGCAGAGTGGTGCAACTTGGTGCAGATAAGTACAAGATGGTGCAGTTTGGTGCAACTAGGTGCAGATTGGTGCAACTTGGTGCAACATGGTGCAGTTTGGTGCAACTTGGTGCCGATTGCTGCAAGTTTGTGCAGACTAGTGCAACAAGGTGCAGTTTGGTGCACCTTGGTGCAGATTGGTGCAATTTGGTGTTGATTGGTGCACTTTGGCTCAACTTAGTGATGAGTGGTGTAACATGGTGCAGTTTGGTGCAAGTTGGTGCAAGTTGGTGCAGAGTAGTGCAACTTGGTGCAGATTAGTGCAAGATGGTGAAGTTTGGTGGAACTTGGTTCAGATTGGTGCAACTTGGTGCAAATTGGTGGAACATGGTGCAGTTTGGTGCAACTTGGTGCACTTTCGTGGAAGTTGGTGCACTTTGGTGCAACTTGGTGCAGATTGGTGCTTTTTGGTGCAACATGGTGCAGTTTGGTGCAACTTGGTGCTTTTTGGCGCAACTTAGTGCAATGTGGTGCAACTTGGTACAGATTGGTGCAGCATGGTGCAGTTTTGTGGTACTTGGTGCAGATTGGTGCAAGTTGGTGCACTTCGGTGCAACATGGTGCAGTTTGGTGCAGCAAGGTGCAATTTGGTGCAACTTGGTGTAATTTGGTGCAGATTGGTGCACTTTGGTGCATCTTAGTGATGAGTGGTGCAACATGGTGCAGTTTAGTGCAAGTTGGTGCAACTTGGTGCAGATAAGTGCAGGATGGTGCAGTTTGGTGCAACTTGGTGCAAATTAGTGGAACATGGTGTGGTTTGGTGCAACTTGGTGCAGTTTGGTGCAACTTGGTGCAGATTGGTTCAACTTGGTGCACTTTGGTGCAACATGGTGCAGTTTGGTGCAACTTGGTGCAATTTGGTGCAACTTGGTGCAGATTAGTGAAACATGGTGTAGTTTGGTGCAACATGGTGCACTTTGGTGCAACTTAGTGCACCGTGCACATTGGTGCAACATGGTGCAATTTGGTGCAGCTTGGTGTAGCACTGTGCAGTTTGGTGCAGCTTGGTGCAAGTTGGTGCAGATTAGTGCAACATGGTGCAGTTTGGTGCACCTTGGTGCAGATTGGTGCAACATGGTGCAGTTTGGTGCAAGTTGGTGCACTTTGGTGCAGATTAGTGCAACATGGTGCAGTTTGGTGCTACTTGGTGCACTTTGGTGCAACTTGGTGCAATGTGATGCAACTTGGTACAGACTGGTGCAGCCTGGTGCAGTTTGGTTCAGATTGGTGCAAGTTGGTGCACTTTGGTGCAACATGGTGCAGTTTGGTGCAACGAGGTGCAATTTGGTGCAACTTGGTGCAATTTGGTGCAGATTGTTGCACTTTGGTGCAACTTAGTGATGAGTGGTGCAACATGGTGCAGTTTAGTGCAAGATGGTGCAGTTTGGTGCAACTTTGTTCAGATTGGTGCATTTTGGTGTAAACTGGTGGAACATGGTGCGGTTTGGTGCAACTTGGTGCACTTTCGTGGAACTTGGTGCAGTTTGGTGCAACTTGGTGCAGTTTGGTGCAACTTGGTGCAGATTGGTTCAACTTGGTGCAGATTGGTGCTTTTCGGTGCAACTTGGTGCAGATTAGTGCAGCATGGTGCAATTGGGTGCAACTTGGTGCAGTTTGGTGCAACCTGGTGCAGATTGGTGCAAGTTGGTGCAGATTAGTGCTAGATGGTGCAACTTAGTGCAGTTTGGTGCAAGTTGGTGCACATTGGTGCAACATTGTGCAATTTGGTGCAACTTGGTGCACTTTGGTTCAATTTGGTGGACTTTGGTGCTGTTTGGTGTAACTTGGGGTAACTTGGTGCAGATTATTGCAACTGGGTTCTGATTGGTGCAACATGGTGCAGTTTGGTGCAAGTTGGTTGAACTTGGTGCAGATTGGTGCACTTCGGTGCAACTTGGTGCAAGATGGTGCAGGTTGGTGCAACTTGATGCAGATTGGTGCAACATGGTGCAGTTGCATTGTTACGCTATTACGGCAAGGTTCTTCACTCTTCTTTCTTCTAAGCATTAAAGCTACTGTAAAAAGCAAGTGTTTCATTCTTATTACGTTGTTACGCTATTACGGCAAGGTACTTCACTCTTCTTTCTTATTGGCATCAAAGCTACTGTAAAAAGCAAGTGTTTCATTCTTATTACGTTGTTACCCCTATTACGGCAAGGTACTTCACTCTTCTTTCTTATTGGTATCAAAGCTCTTGTAAAACGCAAGTGTTTCATTCTTATTAAGTTGTTACGCTATTACGGCAAGGTACTTCACTCTTCTTTCTTATTGGCATCAAAGCTCTTGTAAAACGCTAGTATTTCATTCTTATTACGTTGTTACGCTATTACGGCAAGGTACTTCACTCTTCTTTCTTATTGGCATCAAAGCTCTTGTAAAACGCAAGTGTTTCATTCTTATTACGTTGTTACGCTATTACGGCAAGGTACTTCACTCTTCTTTCTTACTGGCATCAAAACTCTTGTAAAACGCAAGTATTTCATTCTTATTACATTGTTACGCTATTACGGCAAGGTTCTTCACTCTTCTTTCTTATTGGCATCAAAGCTACTGTAAAAAGCAAGTGTTTCATTCTTATTACGTTGTTACGCTATTACGGCAAGGTTCTTCAGTCTTTTTTCTTCTTAGCATTAAAGCTACTGTAAAAAGCAAGTATTTCATTCTTATTACGTTGTTACCATATTACGGCAAGGCACTTTACTACACTTCTTTCTTATTAGCATCAAAGGTACTATCAGAGAGTAATTAAGCCGGCGATATCAACCCCCACTAAAAACCCTTAAGGACATCTTTCTAACCAGCGTAAACAAGAGGTAATGGTCTTGTACAGCAATCACTTTCTTATTACGCTATTCAAGCGTAATAAGAAAAAAGGAAGAAATGGCTATCACATTCTGGGCGATAGTGTGCAATAATAATAATAATTCATTTATTTCTATTAATTTAAGCATTTTTATTTATATGTTGTGATTCAATTTTATCCTTGCTTTACATTTTCTTTTCTTTTGTTTTTGGGTACATGTACACCTGTATGATAATGATTTTGAAACAAAAGAAAATATAATTTAATCCAAGGATACACTTGAGCCACAACATGACAGTGAATACAATGCTCTTGTGGAGAGATGATTTTCCCTCTCATTTTTTTGCCACAAACTGTTTTTCAGTTAGATCAATAGTAAATTATTTTGAGAGACAAAAGGAGAGAAGTTAATTAAGATATTTTGAAAAATCTCGAGTTAACTATACAACACATTGTATCTCTGTACAGGTTTTGCATGTTTATATGAAGATTGGACAGACGTAAATTGTCTAAAAGTATCAAGGTTATCAATAAAATTCATTTATGGCAAAAAATTAGTGATAAATTATAATTTTTTCATATCTTCCTTATCTGAAGATATAGTAATGATAAAAAATCCTAAAATCAAGCATTAAAACCTATTAGGCCTGATAACATGGAGGTGGGGGACCCCAGGTAAGTGAGGTAAACAACTTAAGTGGGGTAACCTGCCTGTCCATATAATCTCTCATATGGTGCGGTCACCCCATCAATCATGCAGGGGTTGCAATTAAAATTGAAGTAGCCAGCAGGTTTGAATAGAGTTACCGACTGCATCAAAAGGGGACCGTTAGTCCCCTTTAACTAGGGGGGGGGGGGATGTCTGGGGATGTGTTTCTCCAGACAATTGGTTCTCGGGACTAAACTGAGGATAGAAGAGCCGTGTTTTTCACTCAAGAAAATGTAGGTTTCATTCAACTTTTGATTTATCAGTCACAATCAATTCCTGCCAAAAATGATGAAAACTAAAGTATGTGCTCTTGCATGTTCTGGGTAAACCTATAAAGAAACTGGTGAAAATTGACCAAAATATAGCATTTACATGACTAAAGCAAAATGTAGAGCCAGTGGGCCTTATATGAAAACACATCATAATTAGGTTTTCATTCAGATTTTACAAAAAAAAATTATAAAGTTATTCAAACTAGTTCCTTCTTCTTTCTAGAAAAAAGTAGCCGAATTCTGTGAGCAAATTAGCTGACTCATTTCTTTGGAGGTAGGTGCTTATTGAAACCCCTGATCATGTAAACGTGATCATATGGACAGCTGGCGGGTTACCCCACCTAAGCGGGTACCAGGGGTCCTCCATGAATGTATGGCCTGAAAGCAAGAATGTTTTCTCTTATACTAAATTACCATTTGGGAATCCACCCACACCCTGTACACAGTTTCATATCTTGTTCATGAGCGTTTGCACAATTCTTTTGTCTTTCTTCCACTAAAGCTGGAAGGTTGACATGGGTGCCATCGCAATAAGGAGGATTCTTGGTGTGTTTACAGCAACAGATTGTATAGATTGTCTGAGGTTTGTCAGGGACCTTCCATTTCATTGACTTGAATCCAGTTGACTTGTGTCTTCCTACAAACACATTTCCATAAAAAGACAGTATCATTTTAGTGGCTGACAATGGAAGTAGACATACAATATGATTTTGTTTTTTCTTTTAGTTTACTAAGCCTCTTCTGTTTATTTGGCATATATTGTTTTTGGCACTTTTTTGTACAGCATTATAACTACAGTAGAACTCCTGGCTGACTCAAACTGAATTTAGTTTCCCTTAATGATCAAAATTTAGCTCTGGTCCTTGTAACTCAGCCCCTATGCCATCTCATTAGCTCTTCTTGTTGTGTAATAACAACCCTAAAAGTTTCACTAGAGTCATTTGAATTTAATTACTGCAAGGAAAAAATCAATTATGAGTCATACTACATGTAGATTGTGTGTTAAAGTTTCTGATGATAAAATATATGCCTGCCAACATTCAGGCATTATGTGTGAATCTCATGGCTGCCAACTAAAGACATCGATCTCATGCATCAAGAACAATATTTCTCATGCTAAAGTCACAAATCCAGATATAGAGTACTTTAACACATTATTAATAACAAAAATTAAATTAAATATTCCCAAAATGAAAACATTCAAAAAAGGCACCCAACTTTATCACAACACGCTACAATGTAAAATGTTGCCATTGAAATAGCTTTGGATGTGCTCAAAAGTCGTCCGAACATCTTCGGACAGTTTTGGTAAT